CCCCCCCCCCCCCCCCCCCACCGCGATCCGCCCGTGGATGGGGGGGCCGGAATCGCCCCCTCCGCCGCTCGGGGCCGTCGGTGCAGCGGGAACCCCCCCCCACGGTAACGGCAGCGGGGAGCGGGGGGTGCGGGCGGCGCGGGGCTGGGGCGGGCAGCGCCGTGGGGACCTGGGGTGGCACCGTGTGGGGATCCCCGCTGGCACCGTGTGGGGAGGGTGGCACCGTGTGGGGACCCCCGGTGGCACCGTGTGGGGAGGGTGGCACCGTGTGGGGACCCCCCCGGGCCGGGCCCCTCAGGGCACTCCCGCAGTGTCCAGCGCCCAACTTGGGGACCGCGGGGCCACCGGCCGGGCTGTGGCACCCCGAGGGGGCTGTCCCCGCTTTGGGGACCCCGGCCGTGGCCGGGGCACGCCGGTGCTGCCCGGTGGCCCGTGGCACTGTCGCCGCGCTTTGTCCCTGCCGCCGTGCCTGTTGCAAGCCCAGCTGTGCCTGTTGAGCCCCAGCCGTTCCTGTGGCGCTCCAGCTGTGCCCAGGGCGCCCCAAACTGGCCCGTGGCACCCCAGATTTATCTGTTGTGCCCTGGCTGTGCTCGTGGCACCCCGATTTTGCCCGTGGCGTCCTGGCCAGGCCCGTGACACCCCCCCCCATCTTTGTCTGTGGGACCCCGACTCTCCCTGTGGCACCCCAGCTGTCCCTGGCACCCCGAATGTGCCCTTGGCACCCCAGATGTGCCCCCGAAATCCCAGATGTGGATGTCACACCCCAGATGTGGCCGTGCCACCCCAGCCGTGCCTGTGCCACCCCAGCCGTGCCTGTGGCACCCCAACAGTGCCCTTGGCACCCCAGATGTGCCCTCGACGTCCCAGATGTGGCTGTCCCACCCCAGCCGTGCCTGTGGCACCCCAACAGTGCCCTTGGCACCCCAGATGTGCCCTCGACGTCCCAGATGTGGCTGTCACACCCCAGCCGTGCCCGTGCCACCCTCACCCCCCGCCCCAGGAAGCCCGCCCGGGGTGTCCCCCATTCCCACGGCCCTTCCCGTCCCCCACCCTCCAGGAAATCCTTCCCGAGCCGTCACCGGGGGCCCCCCCGAGCCCCCCCAACTTCCTGCTTCCCGCCGGGCAGGGCAGAACAATTCCCGGCCGCATCCTGCCCGCCCCGGGGCACCCTCGGGGGCACCCCCGGGGGCACCGGGGGGTCCCGGGCAGGACGTGGGGGGTGGGAAGCAGCCGGGCCCCCCCCCCCATTTCCTCGGAGTGTCCCCCGGGGCGTGGGGTGCCCCCGGCCTCGTGACGCCGCGGCCTCAATGCCGCCTTGTGCCCGCGCCGCCCGCGTGACGCCAGCGCCGCTGCCCCGTGGCACTGACGGGGCCCCGGCGTGGCCGTGTCCCCTCGCAGGGACCCCGCGGTGTCCCCAGCGCCGTCCCGGTGCCATGGCCGTTGTTGTCACCGTGCTGCTGGCGCTCGTCTCCGCTGCCACCGGCGCTGCGGGCACCCCGGGGGCATCGTGGAGTGCTGTGCCCAGGAGGACCGTGCCCTACGAGGGTGAGTGCCAGGGGGATCGGGGATGGCTTGGGAGCTGTTGTCACCACCTCGGGTGGCTTTTGTCCCCTCCCCACCCCCGGAGTTTGTTAGCACTGCGGGGTGGGTGGGTGTCCCCAAAACTGAGGCGTGGGGACACGCAGGGCCAGATGTGCCAGACCCAGTCCTGTGCCAGCACCTGGGAGCCACTGCCTGGTGCCGTGTCCCCTGTCCCCATCCCTGTGCCGTGTCCCCTGTCCCCATCCCTGTGCCGTGTCCCCTGTCCCCATCCCTGTGCTGTGTCCCCTGTCCCCATCCCTCTGTCAGGTCCTTTGTCCTGTCCGTCCTCCACGTCCACACCCTGCCACCACCCTGTCCCATCCGTCTGCCATGTCCCTTGTCCCATCCCTCTCCCATTTCCTGTCCCCACGCCCTGCCATCATCCTGTCCTGTCCCTCGCTCATGTCGCCTGTCCCCATCCTTCTGCCGTGTCCCCTGTCCTGCCAGCATCCTGAGGTTCTGTCCTCGCTCCGTGCCAGCAGCCTCTGTCCCTGCCCTGTGCTGTCACCCTGTGTCCCCATGCTGTGCCAGCTCCAGTGTCCCTGTTCCTGTGCCATGCCCTGTGTCCCCATGCTGTGCCACATCCCGCTGTCCTCATGTGGTGGCAGTGCCCCCTGTGCTCTATCCCTGTCCCATGCCAGTGTCCCCATGCTGTGTCCCCTATCCCCATGCCAGACCCCATCCCTCTGCTATGCCACTGTCCCCATGCCTGTGACTTTGGTCCCTTTCCTGTGCCACTGTCCCCGTGCCGTGTCCCTTGTCCCCACTCCTTTCCTGTGCCACTCTCCCTGTGCAATGTCCCTTGTCCCCACGCCCAGACCCCACCCTTAGCCATGCCACTGTCCCCGTGCCGCCCCCGTGCCGTGCCAGCCCCGTGTCCCTGTCCCCGCCCGGGGCCCTGGCGCTGTCCCCTCAATGGTTCCTTTCTGCAGGGCCCGGGGGTGGCCGGGGGGCACGGGGGGGGCGCGGGGGGGTCCCTGCAAAGGCCACTGTGTTCAGTGACAAAGGGACCTTTGTGTGCCACAGGGCCAGGGGTGGCCGGCAGGGGCGGGGGGTGCCCCCAGGGGTCCCTGCCCTGGGTCCCTGTGTCCCTACAGAGCTGTGGTGTCCCAGCCCACTGTCCCTGTCCCCACAGTGTGTGGTGTCCCAGCCCACTGTCCCTGTCCCCACAGAGCTGTGGGTTCCCAGCCCACTGTCCCTGTCCCCACAGAGCTGTGGGTTCCCAGCCCACTGTCCCTGTCCCCACAGAGCTGTGGGTTCCCAGCCCACTGTCCCTGTCCCCACAGAGCCGCAGGTGGGATCTGGCAGGGGTTGGGGGGTGCTGTGGTGTCCCAGCCCGGTGTCCCCACAGTGTGTGGTGTCCCAGCTCAGTGTCCCCTGTCCCCACAGAGCTGCAGGACACTGCCAAGCGTTTCTCCCAGGGCGGGGTCTCTCACTACCTGACGCTGACGCTGGACGAGGCCGAGGCGCTGCTCTACGTGGGTGCCCGCGAGGCCGTGTTCGCCCTGGCCACGGGCACCGTGGAGCTCAAGGCGGCGGTGAGGCCCCGGGGCACCCCAAAATCAGGGTGGCATTTGGGGTGGGGGGTGCCCCGCCGGCCCCTGACCCCTGTGCCACCCCCAGATCTCCTGGGAGGCGCCCGTGGAGAAGAAGGCGGAGTGCGTGCAGAAGGGCAAGAACAACCAGGTGGGCACGGGGTGCTGGGGGGTTGGGGCACCGTGCCAGCTCCAGGGGCCCGGTCCCTGTGTCCCCATGACATGTCCTGTGTCCCTGTGCTGTGCCAGCTCCAGCATCCCTCTCCCTGTGTCCCCGTGACATGTCCTGTGTCCCTGTGCTGTGCCAGCTCCAGCATCCCTGTCCCTGTGTCCCCGTGACGTGTCCTGTGTCCCTGTGCTGTGCCAGCTCCAGCATCCCTGTCCCTGTGTCCCCGTGACGTGTCCTGTGTCCCCATGCCATGCCCCATTCCCCTGTCCCCATGTGGTGGCAGTGCCCCCTGTCCTCTATCCCTGTCCCGTGCCAGTGTCCTCGTGCCATGTCCCTTGTCCCCACCTCTTTACCATGCCATTTCCCCAGTGCCACATCCCCTGTCCCCATTAATGTCCCCTGTGTCCCCTCCCAGACCGACTGCTTCAACTACGTGCGCTTCCTGCAGAGCTACAACAGCTCCCACCTGTACGCCTGCGGCACCTACGCCTTCCAGCCCAAGTGCACCTACATCGTGAGTGGGGGCCCCAAATCCCGGTCCCCAATGTCCCCTGCCCTCCCAGGGGTGGCCCTGTCCCCAGGGCTGGTGTTCACAGTGGCTTTGTGGCTGTGAGAGCAGGTTGGGGCTGTCTCCTGTGCACTTGGAGTGTCCCGGGTGGGTCACCTGAATCAGGGCCACCCCTGGGTGAGGGACAGGGACAGTCCCGGTTGGGTCATCTTGGAGGGTGTCCCTGTCCCTGGGGTGACATTTAGGGTGATGAGAGAGCAGGTTGGGGATGTCCCCAATGTCCCCCTGCCCTCCCCGGGCACGTGGCCCTGTCCCCCAAAAGGATCATCCAGGACTGTCCCCACCTCAGAAGGATCATCCAGGGGTGTCCCTGTCCCCAGGAGGGTCGCCTGGAGGGTGTCCATGTCCCTGGGGCCTGTCTGGGTGGCACAGACATGACCCGTGCCCCCCACCCCCCCTGTGCCCCCCAGGAGCTCTCCGGCTTCACCCTGGACCCGGTGGCATTCGAGGACGGCAAAGGCAAATGTCCCTACGACCCCACCAAGGGCCACACCGGCCTCATCGTGGGTAGGTGACACCTCTGGGGTCACGGGGGGTGCCACCTGTGCCCGCCACCCCCCTTAAACGCCTCCCTCACAGATGGGGAGCTCTACTCTGCCACCTTCAACAACTTCCTGGGCACGGAGCCCGTCATCCTGCGCAACCTGGGCCCGCACTACTCCATGAAGACGGAGTACCTGACCTCGTGGCTCAACGGTGGGGACACCAGGGGACAGGGGACACGGGAGGGGACAGGGCACAGGGCACAGCTGTGACAGGCTGCTTTTGCAGAGCCTCACTTCGTGGCGTCGGCCTTCGTGCCCGAGAGCGCGGGCAGCGGCGACGACGACAAGGTTTACTTCTTCTTCAGCGAGCGCGCCGTCGAGTACGACTGCTACGCCGAGCAGGTGGTGGCACGGGTGGCACGGGTCTGCAAGGTACGCCTGGGCACACCTGGGCACACACCCTGAGCTGCCTGAGGGCCGGCAAGTTGGCATGGGGTTGGGCAGGTGAGGACATCTGCTGCGCTGAGCAGGCGGTGGCATGGGTCTGCAAGGTACCTTGTCCTGGTTCCCGTGGTCACCATGGTGGCCTTGTCCTGTTGCCCATGGTGGCCTTGTCCCAGTGCCAGTGGTCAGCATGGTGGCCTTGTCATGGTGCCCATGGTCACCGTGGTGGCCATGTGCCCATGGTGACCTTGGTGGCCATGTCCCAGTGCTCGTGGTGGCCTTGTCCTGCTGCCTGTGGTGCCCATGGTCACCATGGTGCCCACGGTGGCTGTGTCCTGGCACCCATGGTCCCCACAGTGGCTGTGACCCAATTCCCGCCGTGCCCACCATGGCCATGTCCCGGCGCCCACAGTGCCCACAGTGGCTTCCCAGTGCTCGTGGTGGCCTTGTCCTGCTGCCTGTGGTGCCCATGGTCACCATGGTGCCCACGGTGGCTGTGTCCTGGCACCCACAGTGCCCACAGTGCCCGTGTCCTGGTGCCCGTGGTCACCACGCTGCCCACCATGGCCATGTCCTGCTGCCTGTGGTGCATGCGGTGGCCATGTCCTCCTGATGCCCTCACTGCCCACAGTGGCCATGTCCCGGTGCCCACAGTGCCCACAGTGGCCATGTCCCAGTGCCCACAGTGCCCACCATGGCCATGTCCCGGTGCCCACAGTGGCCATGTCCCAGTGCCCACGGTGCCCACAGTGGCCATGTCCCAGTGCCCACAGTGCCCACCATGGCCATGTCCCGGTGCCCACACTGCCCACCGTGGCCATGTCCCGGTGCCCTCACTGCCCACCGTGGCCATGTCCTGGTGCCCACAGTGCCCACCATGGCCATGTCCCGGTGCCCACAGTGCCCACAGTGGCCATGTCCCAGTGCCCACACTGCCCACCGTGGCCATGTCCCGGTGCCCGCGGTGCCCGCAGCGCGCTGTCCCCCGCAGGGTGACGTGGGCGGCGCGCGCACGCTGCAGAAGAAGTGGACGTCGTTCCTGAAGGCGCGCCTGGTGTGCTCGGCGCCCGAGCAGCAGCTGCACTTCAACCGCCTGCAGGCCGTGTTCACGCTGCCCGGTGCCCGCTGGCAGGACACCGCCTTCTTCGGCGTCTTCCAGGCCCGCTGGTGAGCGCCCGCTGTGCCCGCGTGGCTCCGTGCACCTGGTGGCCTTGTCCTGGTGCCCATGGTGGCCTTGTCCTGGTGCCCGTGGTGGCCTTGTCCTGGTGCCTGTGGTGGCCTTGTCCCAGTGACCCTGGTGGCCTTGTCCTGGTGCCCATGGTGGCCTTGTCCTGGTGCCCGTGGTGGCTTTGTCCCGGTGCCCGTGGTGGCCTGGTCCCATTACCTGTGGTGGCCTTGTCCCAATGACCCTGGTGGCCTTATCCCAGTGCCCATGGTGGTCTTGTCCTGGTGACCATGGTGGTCTTGTCCCTCGGCATGTGGTGGCCATGATGGCCTTGTGCTGTTGCCCGTGATGGCCCTGTCCCTTTGCCCATGGTGGCCTTGTCCTGGTGCCCGCTGGCTGCCACCCCCGGTGTGCCCGCAGGGGTGACGTGGACGTCTCTGCCATCTGCCGCTACCCCATCCTGGAGGTGAAGAAGGCCTTCGAGGGGCCCTACAAGGAGTACCGGGAGCAGGCGCAGAAATGGGGGCGCTACTCGGGCAAGGTGCCCACGCCCCGGCCCGGCTCGGTGAGAGCGGGCACGGCCACGGGCTGGGGTGGTGGGGCCAGCTGTGGGGTGGTGGTGCCCTCTGAGGGGTTGGCATCCATCCGTGGGGCTGGTGGTGCCCTCTGAGGGGCTGGCATCCATCTGTGCCCCCTCAGATGGATTGGGATCCATCTGTGCCATCCTGAGAGCGGTTGGGATCCATCCGTGGGGCTGGTGGTGCCCTCTGAGGGGTTGGCATCCATCCATGGGGCTGGTGGTGCCCCCTGAGGGGTTGGGATCCATCTGTGCCCCCTCAGATGGATTGGGATCCATCTGTGCCATCCTGAGATGGGTTAGGATCCATCTGTGCCCTTCTGAGAGGGATTGAGACCCCCCCCAGTGCCCCCATGCCCTGACGTTGCCCCCATGCCCTTCCTCGTGCCCTGATGTTGCTCCCATGCCCTCCCCCGTGCCCTGATGTTGCCCCCGTGCCCCGGCAGTGCATCACGGACTGGCACCGGCAGAACGGCTTTGCCAGCTCGCTGGAGCTGCCCGACAACACGCTCAACTTCGCCAAGAAGCACCCGCTGATGGACGAGCCGGTGCCGCCGCAGCGCGGGCGCCCGCTGCTGCTCAAGAGGGATGCCAACTTCACCCAGCTCGTGGTGGACCGCGTGGCAGGGCTGGACGGGGCCACCTACGAGGTGCTCTTCATTGGCACAGGTAATGCCAGGGGACAGGGAATGCCAGGGAACAGGGACAGAGGGACAGGGGACATGGGACACAGCATGGCAGGGCTGGCTGGTGCCACCTATGAGGTGCTGTTCATTGGCACAGGTAATGCCAGGGGACAGGGAATGCCAGGGGACGGGGACAGAGGGACAGGGGACATGGGACACAGCATGGCAGGGCTGGCTGGTGCCACCTATGAGGTGCTGTTCATTGGCACAGGTAATGCCAGGGGACAGGCGTGGAGGGGCAGGGCACCAAGGGACAGGGCATTGAGGAGACATGGCACTGAGGGACAGGGCACCAGGGGACAGGGCACCACGTGGACAGGGCACCAGGGGACAGGACACCAGGGGACAGGGCACCACGCGGCCAGCCCCGGGGTGCCCCATCGCTGATGCCCGCTGTGCCAACCCGCAGGTGACGGCTGGGTGCACAAGGCGCTGGATTTGGGCACCCACATCCACCTGGTGGAGGAGCTGCAGGTGTTCGAGCCGGCTCAGCCCGTGGAGAGCCTGGTACTGGCGGGCACCAAGGTGAGCGTGCCAGGGGCGGCGGTGGCAGCGTCACCGCGGTGCCAGCCGGCGGCGTCACCTCACTGCTGTCCCCCCACCCCTGGCAGAAGCTGCTGTTCGCCGGGTCCCGCTTGCAGGTGGCACAGCTGCCCCTGGCGGAGTGCGGGCGCTACCAGTCCTGCACCGACTGCGTGCTGGCACGGGACCCCTACTGCGCCTGGAGCCGCAACGGCAGCGCCTGCGTCCGCGCCGACGGGCACAACGGGTACGGGCACCGTGGGGATGGCACCCAGGGCACGGGGGGGGCACCCAGGGCACGGGGATGGCACCCAGGGCGCGGTCAGGGTGGAGTTTGGGAAGGGTTCTGTCCCAGAAGGACACTGGGCACTGCCCAGGGAGTGGGCACGGCCCCGAGGAGCTTCAGAAGCATTTGGATTTTGGGGTGGCTGTGCTGGGATGCCAGGCTGGGGTCAGTGATCCCTGGGGGTCCCTGGGGAGGGCACCGCAGGTACCCCCCTCACGGTGCCCTCCTCCCGCAGGTCCCACCTGGTGCAGGACGTGCTGAGCTCCGACACCGGCGCCTGCTCCGTGCCACAGGTGGCCAAGCAAGGTGAGACCCTGCTGGTGCCACACAGCTGTGCCCACACACCCCGTGCCACCCCGTGAACCCCCATCCCATCCCGTCCCATCCCATCCTGTCCCGTCCTGTCCCATCCCGTCCCGTCCCATCCCATCCCGTCCCATCCCATCCCATCCCATCCCATCCCATCCCGTCCCGTCCCG